TCTTCTGCGACACGGTGCTGTGGTTGAAGAACGTTGGACTCCAGTCTGACATCAATAAAGCAAAGTGGCAGAACTGGGCTACCAAGTGCTACTACTTCTCACTGCTGATGAACCTGGCCAGGGATTGGTATGAGGTCTCTTGGAGGCTGGAACAAGCTGTACAGGAAGAAAAGATGAAGGAGAACTGTTTCTGGGACGAACAACATCAGCAGCTAAACTCTTCCAAATGTAATGGCTTGCATGGTTTTCTCTTCCTGCTGTTTCAAATACTCAGAAGGCATCCTCCTCTGCTGCTAGACATGGTGAAGAACCTCTGTGATCTCTCTGGTCCTTTGGACACACTGGGGATCTACAGAACCAATCCAGGTGTGATTGGTTTCTGTGGACTCCTCTCCTCTCTGGTGGGGATCCTCACTCTAGCGAGCCCACATCTGAAGCTGAAAGATTGATGTAAGAGGAACTGCTCAGTGCGCAGTGAGCCAGCAGCTTTGATCCTCTGACAGGTTCTTATTCTCCACGTGGCACTTTAAAAATGAAGACGTCTCACTTTAACCTCAAGATGAGTTTTTTTCCCTCTGCATAAGACACTTCTGCCCTTTGTCCTTCCCTGTGCCTTTGCAGATGAGTTTGGTGCCCAACAGAGCGAAGGTGGAAGAAGGCAGAGTAATATTGCACAAACAGAAAGAGGACTTGGAACATGGCTGCTAGATAAGGAAATATTGATGATCCTCTATTTTAATATAGCTTTATGAAATAGCTGCCTAGACTACTGTAGTATGTGTATGACTCATAACTAATCATGTTTACACAGGAAAGCTAGAATTCAGCAATCAAACGTTCCTATAGCCAAATTTTCTATAGTATGTTCAGACAAGTTAGAAACTGTGGTTAGATAGCCTAAAGTAAAGCCTGAGTGTTCTGACAGGACTGGATTGCTGGATCCTGATTTCTGTAGGCAACTGTTTGATGATAACTGGAAAGTGGTGTCATCTGAGCTTTCAGTGATCCCTATGTAACGTGAACATGCACTGCTTACTCTGGACCTACAGTTTGGTGAGTGCCAACTTAAGTCTCAAGAGATCAAAAACTTCTTTTCCTTTGATAATATAAGCCAAGATGGGTTGGCCACCAACTAACTCTTCCAGCAGGCCATGGCTGAGGATTTTGGTGAAGAAATGCATGTGGGAAATGCTGGTCTCATTGCTGCTAATGCTGTGATTTGTAGGGATCTGAGTGCAGTGAAGCTGTGAATCTGGAACCTGTCATAAGCACTACATTTCCCATTACATCCACACCTTAATTCCTGTGATTCCAAGTGAACCATTTTACATTAATGACAGTGTGATAAGCAGCTTGTTCTGCTGTTTTAATTTTACTTGAAAAAGTCCAGTGTAATAAGGAGCTTTGGAACCTGCAGTTAAGGAGAAAAGGCCGTCTTGGAGCTTGTCAAGTAAGAAAAGCTGCAAGGGTGTTTCCAGTTGTGTAAGCTCCCAGAGGGAAGGGAATGGAGTCAGACTTGATCATATATCAGAATGTCCTTGAAGAGAAGCTTATTACCTGGATTTGGGCATTCATGTTTCAGATTTTCTTTCCTGATCCTCTCTATCCTTCCATCATGACAGCAAGATTTCTTGTGTGTTCCCTCAGTGGTTCTACCGTTTGAAAATGCCTTATGTTTGCCCTGCGACTGCATAACTACTCTTCAGTTTTCTGGCTGGAATGATTGCCTGGCTTGTGAGCTAGGTTAGAGGAGAAATGCTGTGTCCAGCAATCTGAGAGCTTACATGATGTGCTGCCTTTGTTGCTCCTGACTTCACAGAGTATCAGTTCTAACACATCTGAGAAAAATTTGCACGTGACATAGGACACAAAATTATTGCTTTTCTTCATCATTGCCACGCCTGTGTGTTCTGTTGCTTTCTGACTGTACAGGCTGCTTGTTTAATCTGTCAGGAGATGTGAATAGAGATTATCCTAACCAGGACCAACATACTTGATTATTATTTCTGATAGTCTCTGTAAACAGAAATTAAAAGGTGCCGGTCACCTTTATTAAAGGAGGAGGCTGTGGAACTGAGCAGGCATGGTAATGCAGTGGCCCAGTTTACCTTTAAAGTCATTGTGGTGGTGCTTGGAATTACTTCCACTTTGAATCTGAAGTGTTAGGCTGCCAATGAAGTGTTTGAAAATAGAGGTTGCTGAGCAGGGTAATTAAGTGTGTCTGAAGACCAAACATGGCCTGTAGCAGCTCTTCTTTTTAATATGGAAATGAATACCACTAAAAGTAGAGCACTCGGCAGCTCGGGCCATAATGAATGTGTTGTCTTCAAGGGCTTTTTCTTGCTACTTGTTTAACAGTTGAGTTTTTCGTTGTTGTTTCTTAGTTTCTTTATACAATGTGCCTTTGAATTGCTGACACTGTGTGGCCAATCCCTCCCTTGGTCAGATTTGACCGTTATCCCGGTGTCAGCAACGAGAGAAAAAAAAGAAGTCTTGGTGATCTATCAGCAGAGCCCTGGCCACTCTGCCTACAGAATCTATTTTCTTGCAAGAGCTACATTATGAATTGCTCTCAGGAGACCTCTTGGGTACAAAATAGATCTTATGCTGGTTTGCAGACTGATTCCTCTTTTTCCTATATAGTTCATAGGTAAGGGGGAATGGATTCACACACTGATGTGGCCCTGACTAGATACGCATCCCTGTGCCAAGCAAACACTGTGCAAAGTCACAAAGTAGTCCTCGGTGTTCCTCCTGGAGGGGCTGGGATGGCTCAGCAAGTACAGACTTACCCTGGGAGATGGAGCAATGACTTTTCAGCCTTTCTCAGCCTTACCTCCATTTGACATAACACGGGTCAGTGTACAGGAGTAACTTTAGTGGATGTTAAGCACTAATACTGCCTTTCTGCTCCCCTGCTGCGGGCTAGCAGTTTAATGCCTTAATGTAACATGACTGAAGCCATAGAATTGCAATCAAATGGAGAAAATCCTTTTAGTGCCTTTTCTATGTATGTTTCTAATACAACAGTTGGAATAAGGAGAGCTGTTTGAACACAAGCAATAAACCTTGATGCATATGATACTGAATCTGTGTGTGACTTTGAGGATGGGGAAAAGAGATTCTGAAGGAGTCCTCTCTCATATTACTGAGATTGCTGAAGCTGTTGCAGATGTTTAATGATGGATTAAGGGCAGAGAGTAAAAGATAGCATCTCTAGCTGAGATGGGGAGAGATGGAGAAGGGATAACCAGTAAAACCGAGCTCTTGCTGGTAGCTTACTGCTCTAACTGCTTACTCCTATCCCCTGCAGCAAGAACTTTACAAATGTGAAGGCTCCAAAATGTTGTTCCCCGAACAATATACAAAGCATTGCATTCAGCAACGATTCAGCAAGAGTTTTCTTCTGAATGACTGCTCTTACACTCATTTCATAATAGCAGCAATTAACAGCAGAATGGTAAGCGAGATAAGTAATGTACTCACAGACAAGGCTTTCCTAATGTTAACACTGTGCTTGGCATGATATTTCAGGAAGAGTGAGCTGCTCAGCATTCCCAGGTGAGCAGCAGGAGCAATCAAAGGTCTAAAAACCAACATCTCTGGGGAGGGATCAAGTGAGCCGTTTCATAGAGGAAAGGTGACTGAGGAAGAGTGCGTGGAAGGTTTTCTGTCAAGTGAAAGGCAATAAATTAGTCTCCAATCCACCCAAAGGGTAATAGATATAAGTTGTCACAAAGGAGAATTAAATCGTGTGGGCAATGTTGTTTGAAACTTAAGTAAAATAAAACACTGAAGAGATTGCCCAGGAAGACAGTGCCCCACAGGAAGGGGAGGGGATGGGCACAAGTAGGGCAGAGGCTGTGCTGTCTGCTGATCCCTGCTCTCACTGGGCAGAAGAAAGGCTGACACTGCCCCTGGTATCATGCCTGTTCACCATGGCCAAGAGAGCAGACCCGTGACCAAGCTGCTGCCCTTTGTCCCACTGTCTGGAGAACCCTGAATCACTGCAGCACTGTGCCAAACCCTGACAGACATCCGTGTGCCTCTGCCCAGGGGTGAGCCCGTTAATGCAAGGCTATGGGCAAGCCCAGGCTCTTCCAGAAGTCATGCAGCATTAAGATCATCCAGTCCAATCATCAGCACACCCCCACCATGCCCACTGACCACGTCCCTCAGTGCCACATCCCCAAAGTTCTTTAGCACCTCCAGGGATGGTGACTCCACCACCTCACTGGGCAGCCTGTTCCTCCCACAGGACACTGCCCATATGCCTGTCCTGCTGGTCCAGGTGAGTAAGGATCCAGCCAGGTCTACTTTCCCTGTGCTGACAATCCCATCCTTTGTTTGTGGTAAGGAAAAGTACTCCTGCTCATCCCCACTCAAAGTCCTTTTACTCTCCTGTCCTGCTGCTTGGCTACACCACAGCTACCTTTCCATCCCTCCCTCAACTCCGTCATCTGTGCTGCTCCAAACCCAAGGTGCACACTCACACATTCTACACCCTATCCTCCTCTTCTCCCTGGCCTTGGTGCTCCACCACAGTGCTGCACAAACACAGGCAGGTCTTAACCTCTTCTGTATTCATCATCTCCTCATTTGACACACGAGGATGATTTTGCAGCCATCCATCCCACAAGATGAGAGCCTTTGGGGAGCTGTTTGCCCACTTTCCCCAGCAACCCATGCCCCCCCAGCCCAGCCCAGGTTGGAGGTGGAGCCTGGGGGTAGTAGTGCCCCAATACCACACACCCCAGGCACAGGACCCAAACGAGGATGGACTGCTGAGGTACTCAAGCAGAGGAGGAGTGTGTGGAGCATTGGCTCTATGGTTTATCTGGTAAAAAGTCAAAGCTTGGGCAACACCACAATCACAGCTCCCAGGGGAGCTGTGTGGCCCAGCCCAACTCCTGCACATCACGCTCTGAGCCCCAGCCCGGCTCAGACCTCACTGCATGCTCTGCAGCTCTGCACTTTGCTTTGCAAGAGGACGTGGCACAATGACGGCAAAGAAGAATCAGCCCTTGCAGAACGGAAGGGCCAAGGTGAGTGTGGGGAGAGGGAGAGGAAATAGGGGGAGGGGAATAGCTCATACCGTGCTGTCTTGCGTGTTATCTTTGCTTGTAATAATACAGAGCAGCCATCAAAGCATCGCCACTCACATGCCTGAAATAAAGTAAATGAGAATCAACAAAGGTAACCTTGATCTAATAGGAGCCCTCGGCACTGTATCAGTATTTATCCATGGATTTCTGGGTCAGCTCGTTTCATGTCAAGATAAAATTAGCAGGAGGTGTATTTTCCTTGTTGAACATGCAGATTCACAGACGAATCGGGCCATGAAGCCAGACTCAGCTTTTCTTGAGGAGTGGCTGCTGGCTGGCCCCTAACTGGTCCCCATGTGATGCACAGGAGAACGTGCTGCAGCGTGTCCTGCAGCTGCCGGTGGTGAGCTCAACCTGTGAAAGCCTGCAGCGGACCTACAGCAGCACCAAAGAGATCCACCCAATTGTGGCCTCAGTGTGTGAGGTCTATGAGCAGGGCGTGAAGGGTGCCAGCGCCTTGGCCATGTGGAGCGTGGAGCCTGTGGTACGCAGGCTGGAGCCTCAGTGTGAGTCCATCAGGAGGGATGTGATGGGGTACCCAACAGTGGGACACCACCTGCGCTCACCTCTGGCACGACCCCCAGCCTTAATCTCCACCCCGCATGCTTTTGCCCAAGGCAGTCTCTATGGCCAACAATTTGGCATGTCGGGGCTTGGACCACCTGGAAGAGAAGATACCGGCCCTTCAGTATCCTGTTGAGAAGGTAAGTCATGGGTGGGAAAGCCTCTGGGACCCTCTGGACACTCCAGCCCCCCTGCAAAGCCCACAGGATTTCTCCTCTGGGCCAGATCCTGGTTTTGCTTCCCACCCAGCAACCAGTGATGGCAAGGGGGTTCCACAGGGCACCTCAAAGCCAGGACTTGGCCACAGGTGTGGTAGGATTGCTCCTAAATATAGGCCAGCAGTGTCCTGCATGGCTGGCTACCTCCAGCCCAAGCTATAGGAAATTGTCCTGCTGCTCTAGGGGATGTCTTCTTGTGTGGCCCATGGTCTCTCCAGCTGCTCTGTGCCATTCAGAGCACATCAGAAGGGCCCTTCTCCATCTCTCTGCCTACAGCTTGCCTCCAAACTGAAGGACACCATCTCCACCCCCATCCAAACTGCCAAGAGCACCATCGGATACTCCATGGACAAGATCCTGGGGCTGGCAGTGGGGGGCTATGAGACGACCAAGACCACAGTGGAGACAACAGCAAGGTACACGAGGAGCAACTCAGTGAGCCAGATGGCAGCCGCAGGGATGGACACCGCCCTGGGTGGGCTGGAGAAGCTGATGGAGTACCTGTTGCCAGAAGAGGAGGAGGAAGCAGGTAGTACTGGTGCCAAGATCACCTCGGGGTGTCTGCAGAGGGATGTCCTGGTAAGGCAGGGGTCTCCTGGGGTGGAGGAAGCACCCAACGCGGTCCCCATGCAGATGGGGACTTACTGATGGGGTGCAGGTGGAAAGAGAAGGACCTTGGTGCAGGGCTGTCCCACCAGGCTGTAGCATCCCACACTCTCTCCCTGCGCTGTTCTACTTTTAGATCTGAAACCCAAGCAGACCTGTGGACCAGCAGCAAAGGTCTCCCAGCAGCAATCCAGGACTTACAGGGCTCACAGTGCTCCCAGTACTCCCAGCAGTTCTCCCAGCACTCTGGGCCGGATTGGAGCCCTGGTCAGCACCGCCTCTCACCGTGCTTACCAGCACACCGCCCAGAACCTCCAGCGTGCCAAAGCCAAAGGACAGGAACTGGTCGTCTGGATCCCCATCTTGGTGAGTCCCAGCCTCTCTCAACGCCTTGGGGCCCAGAACTCATCCCAAGCACTGGTTTCTGTCCTCCCTGCAGGGCAGTCTGGCCAAGCCAAGCCCACCTGTGGTGCCACAGAGCCATGGTGAGAGGCAGAGCACTGCGGGCAGCTGGAGACAGAGCAGGGCACCAGAGCAGAAGCAGGAGAAGGCAGAGAAGAAGGAGGACAGCCATGCTGGTGAGGTAGGGAAAAATGGAGATAGCGGTGAGATGGGGTCATCCCAGAGCATCATCTTGATCCCACCATGTTCTCGCTCTCTTCTCCAACAAGCCAAATCAAGGCACTTTCCTTCTGGCATTCTCCCAGGGGCTGGGTGCAATCCAAAGGACCCAGCAGTCAGCATCTCTGGCTCAGTCCTCCTTAGGAGAAAAAGCTCTAAACTCCCAAACAGGGCTGCAACAGTCTCTGGGCCAAGCAGTGCTCCAATTTCCAAATCAGCACTTAGCTCCCAGTTGTTGGTTTGGGGTCTCAGCACAAAATGTACTCCCACTGTGGCAGTGAACAGGAGGACCTTGGGTCTGGGGGAGGGCCCTGCTGACAGCACATGGGCTGGAGGACTTTCCCTAGTGGTAGCAGTTCTGCTGGGACATGGGGACAGGAAGCTGCAGGTCAGGGTCGGTGTACTTCACCTTCACTTGCAGCAGAAATGTGAGGTCCCAGAGGGCTGGGGGGCTGCCATAAGTGACTCTGTTTTCTGTCTGCAGGCAGGGGATGGCCTCGGGCTGGTGGGCAGCGTGGCTCACAACCTGCAGAGTGCCTGTGCCTCTGGCATCTCCAGCATGAAGAAGGTCCCTGCTGTGGCCTGGGATGTGGCAGAGGGGTTGATTCTGTTCACACCCCGCAGGCTGTCCAGGGCCATGGAGACGGTGGATGCTCTGGGAGGGACACTCATCAGTGCCCCTAAGCACCTGCTGGGCAGCCTGTACAGTTACGTGCCGGTGAGTGCATCCCACCACCTTGGGGACACGCAGGGATCGGGTCCCACCCACCTCCAGCAAAACCCCTTTTGGTCCACTCCATGCATAAAGGCGAGGCAAAGGTTAATACTGGCACCACATCCCCTTCCTCCACCCGGCCCTTTCCTACCCGCTCTCCCTCAGGGCTGACCTGCAGCCACCTACTCCCTACTCTGAGGGCCTCCATGGGGACAAACCACCCGTCCCAAAGTCTCCCCAGGGAGAGCCCTACCGCTCAGCCCAGCCCTCAGCTCCGCAGGCAGTCCAAGGACGAGGCGGCAGCACGGGGCAGCAAGCCGGGTCCTGAGGCTGAGCAGAAGGAAGAGGAGGAGAGCAAGTCGGTGGGCACCAGCGCCGAGGAGAAGGCCCAGCTGAGGGGCGACTGGCGGCTGTACCGCGGCCACCACCCGCTGTCCTTCCTGGGCCTGGAGGACCCTCTCTTCATACGCAGCAATCTGTACCGCAGCTCAGCCCTGGAGCCCGAGGCTGTGCCGCGGAAATCGGCCTTCATGCCTTACAGCCGGCGCGTGAGCGAGGGCTCCTACCGCTTCAGCCCCGAGGCCATGTACAGCCGGGCCTACTACGCCAACCTCTACAGCCCAGCCTTCAAGAAGGACTGACCCTGAGCAGGAGAACCTCGGCCCCAAACTGCCCCCAGCACGCTTCACCTTCACGTACCCACAGCCCACATTGCCTGCTTACCCACATCCCCAACCTGGCACGGATACGGTTGTCCCTCTTGGGTTGTCCATCTGTCCATCCGTGGTTGAGGGTCCCTGCTCTGCTCCAGGCTCGGTGACAGCTGTGCCAGGGGTTGTCCCCTCCTTGGGGCCAAGAGGAGAATAAAGGCAGCCCAAGGGGCTGCTGTTGGAGAAGTAGATAGAGAAGAGGGGATGAGTGAAGGAGAAGCAGTGAAGGAGAAAAATGGACCAGCCAGCTCTGACACTGGGCCACCTGCTTTTCGTTAAACAGCATCAGATAGGTGAGGTACAGAGACTGAGATGGATCGGAGGGCAACACAACTATCAAACATCATAGAACAACATTGAATCACCACAGAATGGCTTGAGTTGGAAGTGACTTAAAGCCCATCCAGTCCCACCCCCCTGCCATGGGCTGGTTGCCCCAACTGCTCAGGCTGCCCAGAGACCCATTCAACCCAGCCTTGAGAACCTCCAGGGATGGGACACCCACAGCTCTGGACACCCTGGGTTCTCATCCTTCTTTCCACAGTTTTGGGGTCAGAGACAAGACCAGAGCACCAGTACCCCAGCCTCCTGTAGGAAGGCCGCATTTCCCACAACTTGTGATTGTACCTGCTGCAGTAATAAACCATCACCCTTTGCATAGTCTGCTTTACAAGAGCTGCCCACTGGCTACTGAGCCTTAAAGGGCTGGGAACACTGAGGGAGGGAGAGGACTCAGGGTGCAGAGGGCTTTTTGCAGTGCTTGGGCACTGTACGTGCCCCTTCCTATGCCTGGAGTACAAACTCAGAGCCACCAGGGGCTTCCTGCCAAAGATTTATTCCATTTGCAGAACAGTGCAGAGCAATCACTGTCTGCACTGCACATACACAACCTCCTTCCTACACACTGCATTCCCAGGCACAGCAGGGAAGGGGAAAGACCTCCCTGCCCTCCTCCCCTCCTCCCTTCCTCCCCGGGGACAGGCAAGCTCAGAGGTCTGCATTTATGAGACACACGGTACAGGCCCACATCCTGGGAAAAAGCCCAGTGCCTGACTTTCCCATGCTGAGCCTGGGCTGTCACCAAAAGGCTGGAGGAGGGAGGTCAGTAGTACAGAGCTGCTTGGAGTCACATAGGATGAGATGGGGTGAGAGAGGATGAGATGCAATGGGATGGAGGGTGAAGGACTCTGCCTGCTGTCCTCCAGGCTCAGTACTGGCACAGCCAGGATGCCAGGGTGACAACAGGGACACGGAGCAGGACGTAGCTGCATGTCCTCCCTGCTAGCCCATAGAAGGAGCTGGGGATGCTGCAGACAACAACAGAGCCAAGAGCAGAGGGCTGAGCAGAGGAAGGCCCTTGCCTTGCTGGTCACGTACAGCCAGAGACCCAGATCCTGGGCTTTTGAGAACCTGCCATGCTCCTGGAACAAACCCAATCTGCACAGAACACAGGAGGCCTCATCCAGCTACACAACACAGAAACAAACACTGCTCAGAGCGAGTCCGTCCGCTTACGGGCAAACACTGCTGACACAGTCCTGACAATGCCCCGGATGCTGGCACCTCTTTTCAGCCTGGTGTCGGGGATGCGCTCAGCCAGTCCATGGAACACCATGAGAGCCCCATGGTAGGCCTCAGCCGCAGAGACCTCATAGAAACCACAGTCCAGAGACAGGGCCAGGAGCCATCCCTCCTCGCTGGAGACAACCCGTCGGTGCTGCAGGTCCCGCTTGTTGCCCACGATGACGATGGGCACCTGGCCCTGCCCCTCCTTGGCCGCCCTAATGAACTGCACTTTGAGGGGCAGGAGGTTGAAGCTGGCACGGTCGCAGATGCTGTAGACCAGGATGAAGCAGTCTGCCCACTGGATTCGTTTCTCCTCCGAGGAGCCATCGTCAGCCTGATCCTGGGGAATGGGGAGAAGGTGCGGATTGGGTTTCCTCCTTAGGAGGAGGGCACACAATGGGAACGGAGCCCTCTCACCTGTGAGTTGGGGACGTCCCAGATGTGGAAGAGAACCTCTCGGCCATCCACGGTCAATGTGTGGCTGTAGATGAATTCTGCCAAAAAAAATGAGTCTGAGGCTGTTTGTCTCTACAGACAGTTCCCTCACAGCTGATCTGCTCCACAATCTTTAGGGATCCAGGGCTGTTTGCCCTGCAGAAAGGTCTGGGGGCACGGAGCAGCACTGTCCCTGCACTCAGCCCACGCACAGCTGCATCTTCTGCACCCCAGTGCAATAACAGTACAGCTCCTGATCAAACATGAACATCAAGCCTCTGGGGAGCTATAGAAAAACACGGCAGAGGACAGGAAGGAACCAAACCCTGCAGGAGGATCAGGCTCACCCTGCAACCTCCCTGTCCCTAAGGGGAATGGAACGGGGCTGGTACGGTCAGCACTCACCCATGTCTCCGTACTCCCCGATAAAGCGCCTAGTAAGGAAACGTACAGTCAGGGCTGCAAAGGGGAGAACAAGAATCACAAAATAATCCCAAACCTCTGAGACTTTCATCTTAAACCCAGCCCACACACAGCTTAGACCTGAACACACTCAGGATGCATTCCCCCACAAATTCCCACTGCTGGGCCCGACCTCTGATTTTCCCCTTTCTGGACACCAGCAGAGAGGCAGGACTGTTCCCTGCAGCTCATTCCCCAAACCCTGCTGCAGTTTGCAGTCTATTTTTGCAGTAGAAATGGGTTTCCCTGCCTGTAAGCTCTCAGCTCACACTCATTCCTTACCTGATTTCCCCACGCTGTCTGCTCCCATCACCAGCACATTGGCTTCTGCTCTCAGGGCAACAGGGCTGGGCAGCTCCAGGAGGGCCGGGTGTTCGGGGGTGAAGCTGGCACTCCTGCGCAGCCGGAGCCCCATGGCAGCACTCCCAGCTCCTCCACATGCACCCGGGGGACCTGCCAGGGCTACGGGGTACTGCCTGCAGCTGCAGGGAGCAGGACTCAAAATGTTGCTATGAGTTGGATCATCCCCACGGTACGTCAGTGCTGGGGCTGGCCTTGTCACCTCCCAGCATGCAGGACTGGCTGCAGAGTATCCCAGGAGGCTGCCCACGCTGCTGCTCCTCAGCTGGGACATGTGGTCCTTTTGTCTCTTCTCATGGAGGCCGGAGGATCACTCACAGAGCATCTCATAATGGAAGATGTGTCTCAAAGCAGATTAAGCATCTCAGAAGCGATGCATCACAACCGATGGACCATCTTACAGATGATAGAGCATCTCATGACTGATGGAGCATGCTGTGATCAATCACAGAACGGCTAAGATTGGAAGGGACCTTAAAGATCACCCAGCTCCACCCTGCTGCTGTGGGCTGGATGCCACCCACCAGTTCAGGCTGCCCAGGGCCCCATCCAGCCTGCCTTGAGCACCTCCAGGGATGGGGCATATCATCATGGAGCATAGCATAAGTGATGGAGAACCTCAAAAGCGATGGACTTATGGGTACGAGCAGATGACGAACTCCTCATGAGGCAGCGAGGCGCCGGCACAGCCTGCCCAAAAACCCGTGGATGCTCCAATCGGGTTGGATGGAGTTTTAAGCAAACCCGATCCGGTGGGCGGCAACCAGCCTACGGCAGCGGACGGAACCGGACGGTCACAAGATCCCTTCCAATCCACGCCCTCCCACGACTCCACGAGCATCTCAGAAGCGACGGAGCACATCGCGCCCCGACACACCCACCGCCCCGCCGCGCTCCCAGCACCGACGGCCGCCGCGGCGCCGGGCCGGGCGGGGCCGCCTGACGCCATCGCACCGCGCCGAGCAGCGCTCCGCCCTGCGATGGGTCCGGAGGGGGCAGCGGTGCGGGTGGCGGTGCGGGTGCGGCCGCTGCTGCCCAAGGAGGTGCTGCGCGGGCACCGCTCCTGTCTGCGCGGGGATGCGGCCACCGGGGAGGTGGCGCTGGGCCACCGCCGCCGCTTCCGTTTCGCCGCCGTGCTGCCCGAGGCGGCGGGGCAGGAGGCCGTGTACGGCGCCTGCGTCCGGCCGCTGCTGCGGGCCTTCTTCCAGGGCTTCAACGCCACCGTCTTCGCCTACGGGCAGACGGGATCCGGCAAGACCTACACCATCGGGGAAGCCAGCGTCGGTGAGTGGCAGGCAGCGACTTCTCTCTCATCTCATCTCCATCACATCCCCATCCCATCATCCCATCCCCTGCCGCCATCCCATAGCCCCCATCCCACCCATCCCTCTTTTCAAAGTTGTTTCGGTGGTATTATTGGATCTCTAGTTACCTTAGTGAGTGTGGATCACGGGTCAGCTTTGGTTAACTTCGCCGATTGGGAACGCTGAGTTATGGCCGTACTTTGAGATCCATCTCTGCTCCGCTCTCAGGTCAGGCTGTAGCTCCAGGTGTGGAGCTGCAGTTCTGCGTGGCTGCTGGAGACAAAAGCACAGCAGCTTAAGATCACAATGGCAGAGCAGGCAGATAACGAGCTGGGAAAGCTGATGGGGAAACACTGGCTCCAAAGGGCAGCACTCTTTAGCTTTGCACTTGATGTTTGTTATCAGTGGGAACACTGACATCCTTTTTAATTCTTGAGGAAGAGCCGTTGCATGAGTCCACCACCACTGTGTGGGGAAGAAGTGGGGTGAGGTTTTCCCCAAGTCCTAAAAGCCCTTGCAAGGAGTTTGAATTTAGGCAGTGCAGGGCTGTAGGAAGGCCGGGGGGCTGCTCCCGTGTGATGAAACCCACACTGCAGCCCTGGCTCCAGCCCATCCCCAGCCAGCATGGCTCCAGGCACATGCCACATCCCTTGATCGTGTCCATGTCTCTTTGCCAGCTTCCATCAATGAGGATGAGCAGGGCATCATCCCACGAGCCATGGCAGAGACCTTCCAGCTCATCGACGAGAACGACCTCATTGACTACACAGTGCGCGTATCCTACTTGGAGGTGTACAAGGAGGAGTTCCGGGACCTTCTGCAAGTGGATACGGCCAGCAAAGACATCCAGATCCGAGAGGACGACAAGGGCAACATCGGTATGTGCAGCTGCCCTTGGGCTTCCTTTTCTCCTCATTCCCAAAGGCCGTTGTTTGGTTTTGTCATTTTGTTGGGTCCCTTATCCATTTTCCGTTGCAGTGCTCTGTGGTGTGAAGGAGTCTGAGGTGGAAGGACTGGATGAGGTGCTGAGCCTGCTGGAGATGGGCAACACGGCCAAGCACACGGGTGCCACGCACATCAACGCACAGTCAAGCCGCTCACACACCATCTTCACGGTGACCATGGAGCAGCGGCGCGGCGCTGGCCGTGTCACTCGCCTTGCCCTGTCCAACCAGCCCACCATCCCCGCTTCAGGACAGGTCCTGGTTTCCAAGTTCCATTTTGTGGACCTGGCGGGCTCAGAACGGATCGTCAAGACGGGAAACACCGGGGAGAGGCTGAAGGAGAGCATCCAGATCAACAGCGGGCTGCTGGCCTTGGGCAATGTCATCAGTGCCTTGGGGGACCCTCGGAGGAAAGGCAGCCACATTCCTTATAGGGATTCCAAAATCACCAGGTACAGATGGGGAGCGGGACCCCGCACATCCCATGGGCTGGTGGCCCAGCAGCAGGGACACGATGCGTCTTGGTGGTCCTTCTCATGCCCAGCCTACCTGGTTTGGTGGCAGAGACCCCAGGCTGAACAGGAGAAGCTTGCAGGGCAAGTCATCCCTTCTGCTTTCATGCCAGTGAGCACAGAATCGGGTAGTACCTGGCTCCAGGAGTTATTCAGGCAGAAACTTGG